AATTATCTGATTCCACCTATTTAAATTTTTAAAAAACAATCAAATAAATAATCAGTATTTTATGTATTATAGTCATACTAAAATATTTTCTGGTTTGTGCGACAGTAAACTGAACATCTTTCAGTTGGGCCTTGGGAATAATCTTTCAAAGTTTTCAGCCTTTTCTGATGTTTAACAGACCAAACAACTAATTGATTAATCTTGAAAACGATCCACAGATTAGTCATTAATGTAAACAATCGTTAGTCGCTGCCCTAATAAGTACAAAGCTTGAGTCACAACATGTTAGTGGAGCTTAACAAGACCGACAGCAGAGGGAAATGGCCTCGATCTGTCCAAACAAACTGTTTGTGGCTTTTCATGCTGAATAATATACAACTTGTTCCTCAGCGGGCTTTTGAGGTGTTGGTGGTGCATTTTTAAGTTTGACTCGACACAAACATGGCATTGACGTGAACCTCGTCCTTTAACAGTGACAGACTTAATTTATACGGACTGCAAATAGAAAAACTTTTGTGTTCAAAGCACTCGAGATGTTGCAAAACCTACTGATTAAATCGAAGTTGATTAAATGCTGACAATCTGTTAACTGTTGATCTCATGGTTGAGCCTTCCAGAACAAAACGAATGCACGGCTGTTATGTCAGCGTGTCGCCTCCATGTTTACTCCCCTTTTAAGTAAATGAACATGTTGCTTGGAATAGTCACAAAACATGTGATCAGAACATCCCTACAAACTACATTGTAAAAATCATTTTTAGGAACTTATGGTATTGGCTAATCTGTGCAACGAAAGCTTGTTTAAAATGCTGGAGATCAGATGAAAAAATTACAGTTCTTCTTTAGAACGGCAGCTTTTCGTCTGAAGAGGGGAAATTGCAGAATGGCGTAAAAACAACACAATGCATGCACAAAGTATTCAGACCCTTCACTTTTTTTCACATTTATGTGTCAGTTTTGCACTAAAATTGTTTGTATTCGTTTATTACCCCCAACACTCTGCACTCAGCACCCAGTAATGATGAAGCACAAACAGACTGTTGGAAACTTTCGCAAATTTATTAAAAAGGAAATATCACGTGGGGTGTACAATAATGCTGGATCATGCAAGACAAGTGTGTTGTATGTCCTTGCTGTGCATTATTGAAAACCTTTTCTTCTGCTTTTAACAGGTCGGGACCAACATATATAAATAGCTGAGGGAGACTAAGATCACTAAACTCTTCACCTTTGTCCTTGGCCTCGGAGACCTCAGTCAGTGTTATCAAGCCTTTGTTGTTGTTGGCAGACAGACGCCCTCCCTGCCGCTGTGGACAGATGCTTTATACTTTACTATGTCCTGGACGTTCATTTCCCAAAGCGGTGCACACCAGTGAGGGAGTTTCTGCAGACGGTTGTCTACAATCTCCCACCAACAGAATCCATTTCAACAAGACTGTGTAGTTGTTTGTCATGCAAAGCTGCATTAGAGCCATGACACAGCTCCCCAAAAGTTAACATGAGTTTGCCAAAATTTGTCACATCTATGTTAATCATTTTAGCTGCTTAGGGGCAGCACAGCATGCAGTGAACATTTACATATTATCACCCTATAAAGGAAAGAGAAAGAGTAGCCTGTTTGTCCCCCAGCCGACACAGAGCATCCATCCATCATCTGCACCCGTCTTATCCTGGAGAGGATCGCTGAAGCCTATTCCGGCTGACATAGAGCGAGAGGCGAGGTGCACCCTGAACAGGTCGCCAGTTCATCGGAGGGCAAAAAAGAGCAACAATAACATTAATTTTTAATCGTATTTATGCTTGTATGTATGTATAGTATCCACCAACCCATGAGGACAAACATCTGGCAATTCAGCTGCTCTTTGTTCACCGTCTTTACCAGCTGGTTGCCAACTTATATTTGACTAAGCTGGCAACGAATTCTTATACTCGTGCCGTTGAGCGATGTGTTTGCTCCACGTAAAGCCAATTTATGTTGAGCTTGTTGTAAAGTTAATTTTGTTTTAATGTAAACTATCAGTGTAATTATTTGAAAGACTTCTGAACAGAAATGAATTGAGGTGGTTTATGTGCTTATTTTTGGAGAATCTAAATATATGTAAATGGTTTCTCTCTTTTGCTGATATATAGAAAAAATAATGGAAAGAAAACATTTTTAAGTTCAGAATAGCAAAGTTAGAATGACCATACCAGCAGTCCTGCATGGCTAAATCAGTTCACTACAAGTCACATATTCTAACATTACTGCAAACTATTTCCAAAGCATGCTGTGGTGGTTTGGATTTTTAGTGCTTCTTGGCCTTCCAAGACACTAGTCTGCACTTGTTTCACTGTTCAGTTTGAGAAGGGTTGTAGAACAAAACAGGTAAATAAGTAGGCTGAGAATCTGTCTGCAGCAGGTCTCACATTTCTGCAAGTTCAATACCACCCTTTAGCGTACAGAGATAAATGTGCTAATGAACGCTGAGAAGTCCTAAACAGAAATTTCACAATCTTAGGTTAAAAAAGCATAAATACTGGCACGTAGACACGAGTTCTGCAGAAGTGTTATTTAAAATATGACAACGTATTCTTTGGAAAACAATCAGCGACACCACCGTCTTGAGTGGGAACTTTTCTGAATGAGTTCATATGAAAGCAGACTAAGTTCCTGTCATGGCTCAGCATGAAACTTCATTTTGGCCGTGGAAATAATAGTTTGAATCATGTTTAAAATCTAATGGTTTAAGGGCATCTAATGGTCTTTATCTCCATCTACAGCAAGCAGAGTTAAGACTGTAGAGTCAGACTAGTGGTGTAAACTCAGCGTGTGCAGATTATAGGTTTGATTGCACAGAAAGCCTTTGGCCTCAATAGCAACCACCACACCTTGGAAACACCATTCAACATCTGGATAACACCTTTCTCTCTGTGGATCATGGTGCTTTGGGTACAGATGTAATTAGCAAACACTAAAAACCTGGTCAGGACTGAGGGTACTGTGCATGCAGGCGAATGCAGAGCGATCCTAGAAGTCAGCAGAGGCTGTATGCAGAGCACATACAGGGAGGAAGAGCACGAGCGGCCGAGGCACCGAGCCAAAGCAAAGCTGGAGTGGCTTTGAGTCTGAGTGTCCTTACATGACCCAGCCAAAGTTTGAACTTAAATTCCACCAAAACAAACCTGACAGAGACCCGACTATTGCAGTGAACCAATGATCCCCTATGAGCCTGAACTCTGCAAGGAAAAATCTGCTCGAGTCTAAACATACAGTCCTTGTAAAAGCAAAGTCCAGAACACTTTAAGCTTTAAATCTGCTGCACTGTACTTCCACCTTCTTTCAGATTTCAGGCTATCATGTATTGACTGATGGCACAGAAACATTGCCCTTACAATTAAACGTAACTAAAATTCGATTATTTTCCAGTTCAGTAGAAAAATTGAAGGGTCGCAAAAACCTGCAGGAAGCTCACTCATTTTTGGTATTCGGTGACTGGCTCAAGAGATCAGCAGCAGCCTGTCCTGTTTGCTGCAAGGGCACAGACTTTTGAGTTTTCTGTAATGGTAAGGCAGGACGACTGCATGATTCTATAATAGATAAAAGTCCTTCTGTCAGACTTCTGACATCTGAAGCTTCAGTGTCAAAAAGTTAAAGGTACTGCTCTGATCCTTTATTTGGTAGGAACTCCTGTTATTGTAGACATAATGATGGCAACTAACATTTTTAAATTATTGGTTAATATGACTTTTATCTTCTCAATTTTAGCATTTGATCTATGCTATATTTTACAGCGTCTGAAAGCCTGAGTGATGTCTTCAGTTAAAAATTGTCCTGTCTTGTATTAAAAAGAAAAGCCACATGTCAAGTAGAAACATCAACATATTGGGCATTTTTGCTTGAAAATAAAAGCAGTTGCAGATTAATTTTCTGTAAGCTGCCTAATGGAAAAGTCAGTCCATCAATTCACTACTTGTTGCAGCTCAAGTACAGTCGACTGTACATCCAACACCACTTCTAAGGAAAGTCCTTGCAGAATGATTTCTAATTGTAAACTACTGAATGGAAAGACTTCTGCTCTAGTTGGAATATTAATTGCGGTACACTTTTTCTTTGTGCGCTCCAGTTGACTTGGACACGGTCACTCTAAGATGAGGGTCAGGGGAAATTGAAAAAAAGCCTCCTGCTGACTTACTGCAACCAGATGAAAGATGTGTTTGTTGAGTTTTTTAAAGCCTTGTAGCACAAAATGACCACATCATTGATGTTAGTAAGCAGTTTTGGAAAAGTTTTTGGAACGTTTCAAAAACGTGAAGAGTAGAAAACCTAGAAAGCAAGATTCTTGGGAACTTAAACACAGTGTACATGTTTTAGATTACTGACTTTAGCTGTGACTAACAACAAAAACTACTGCCGCATAGAAAGGGAAGGGTCGAGGAGAGGAGGGGTGTTCAGATGACTCTAATCTGCATCACTGATAGATGCTACTAAATCCTAAAGGTCCTTTAACTGTATTCACATCCCAGTTGCATGTGTATCATCTCAGTGATGCACACATAACTGAATGTTTATGACAACGCCATCAAAAGTTGAAACATTAACTTATAAAAACAAAATTTATGGCAGCGCTGTTGAGCTGCAACAGAATGATTTGTTTTATCCAATGAAACGGCTGCTCAAGTGCATGTTTAACTTAGTAGGTAATTTTACTGAATATTCAATCATTAAACCTGAGCAATAAATTGATGGTGATACGTACCGGCGATAGACAATCTGGCGACAGTAATAAGAAAACTGTCAGACGTCGGTGCATTAGATGCAAATAATAATGAACGCAAAATGTGGTTGCATGAACAAAACCTAAGTGGGCTCTCTCATTGGCTGATAAGCAACCTGTAATATGCTAATATGATAACAGATCCCATTCACTCTCCTGCTGTACAGGTCTCCTGCGGCGTGCTAGCCTGCGGCCAGCTGGACCTCTCATCACCACAATCCTCGAGGCAACGGCTGCAGTAAATACCTTTTGGACTGTTGATCGGTGTAAAGACGCAAACTGAAGACATCACCACGATTTAGGATTATCTGGCTCTGCAGGAGAGGAGAGAGGACGCATTCAGGGTGCATTTGATCTTGTGATTTCATCACAATTCTGGAAAGGTCAAATTGTACTGCAACAATTTAAAAGCACAATCACAAACTAGTGAAATTCCTAATGTTTCAAACAAGCCAGGAAAACAAGGTTTCGATAAGAAATTAGTCAGAAAACCTTCAAGCCACTGCCAATTTTAACACTATTTTCTTGCACAGCTTAGTCCATGCAATGTTGAGTTGCTTGTTTTTTGACCACAATCCTACAGGTATGTGCTGTATTGGGCTTTTTATGATGGTTGGGCTTTATTTTGTTTGGTTAATGAGCTCACTCAGCCAAAGACCCATTATTTCTGAGTACATATGGGCAAAACTAGTACTAACCAACCCCATGAGAAGTTTGTAGTGGAAAATGAGGGACAGAATACATGTTATGCACAGTATGCATCAAGGTTTGGGGGAAAACTTTACCTTCACTAAGTTCCACGCTTTAAAAGAAAATGTAACATGTGACTTATGTTGGAAAGCAAAAGTGAAGTGCAGTCTGTTCCTACGATGGAATTTAACTGAATCTTGTGACACATTTTCCTCTTTAATTGCTGAGAAGATTAAAACACAAGGAAAGTTGTTTTCATGATCGCCACACTCCTGTCTGTAGGCCAGTTGTTTCAGACAGCTGCAGAGTACAGTATGTACGGCCAGCCAGACATCACACCAGCCGTCACAGTTGGTCAGAACTTCTACCTCCTCGTCACTATCACAGTTTTCCAGACTGTAGTAGCCGTAAATACTTTCTTGTTGACATCAGTGCTTCCCCCACCGTCGCCTAGGAACCAACCCCCCCGGGACCAGCCAAGAACTCATATGTTTAATCCTTCATATTATATATTTTGGTTTTGCCTTAATAAGGTTGTGACAGTGAAGAGAGACAGGAAATATGGGGGAGTGGGTTGCAGTTCGGGTCGAGCCAGCTGCAGATTGAACCAGCGCCTCACTGCTATGAGCACTGAATAGTAATAATTTACACCAGTGTTTAATGCAGACGAACTACTGGACTACTAGGTTGGTCCTATATATTTTTTAAAATATGTCATTTACCTAACATATGAGCACTCATTCCATTTTAGCTTCGTGTGAGAGTCTTGCCTGCTAGTTTCTCTCCTGTCTGACTGTGTGTGTTTCACTGACTTCACTCGTCCCCATAAACACGAGCACTGACAGGTGAAGTGCAGGTAAGGCTACTGGGGTTGACCACAATTTGTCACTTTAACAGTTTCCCAACAATTGTTAATCCGTCTAAAACCAAAGACGGACAGAAGTCAATGCAAACGTCTAAAAGTCGTACAAAAAGCGCCCAACCTGAATCAGCGCTGAGGATGCTACGAGCTGTGCTGCTGATAGCAGACAGGAAGCTGCTCCTGTCCAGGCCACTAACACCTCTCCTGCTGATAGCGCTACAGCTGCCTCCCCCAATAATCACAGGAGGACAGGCGTTGAGCCTGGCTGGTTTACATACAAACAGTGTCAGGTGCCAAAAAAGAAAAAGTTCAAATTAATTCACCTTTATACAATCCTGAAGCAGTTAAGACTGTGATGAAACTCAAGGCAACAGCTTCAGAAAACAGAATGTAATAAAACCTTGTATGATAACTAGGGATGTTAATAATTGTTAATTGATTAATTGCTGTTAATAATTTAACCAATTAAAAATACATTAACTGATAAGTCAGAAGACAAGACATGCATCTCAAAAAAAGGTACAGATCTGGTGTAGTTCCAGGCTGAGATGGAGTTACAGGCGTGTTTGCTGACTGACTGCAAGGGTCACATAAAACAAACGCACCTTCCTGCTGTCTAACTGCTCACTGTGGCAGTCATGCTGATGAACTCTGCAGCATCGAGATGTGAAAAAGTTGCCTGACAGGCGACCTGAGGCCAATGCTAACGGTAAGCCATAATGTTCAAACATTGCAACAGGCTGGGAGTTTAGTGTCCATTAGCAGAGATGTTGCTAATATTCAGGCGCAGGAGGACTCTGATTACATGCTTCCAACAACATTCAAACTAAAGTAATGAAGTGTATCAACAACACGCTGCTCTCAGTATAAACATATGTTGGAGGTGGCAGTAAATAGTGACAGATTTCCTGGACTGATAAATTTACAGCGACAGTATTTGTGGACATCTGTTTGAGCTGAGCAGCTGTTTCCAGCAGCTGGACTAACGTTAACATCAGTGAACAAGTCACTCCATCATGTAGGATATGGAGAGACTAGGATTGTGAAGAGATTAATAATGTAACAGGTTATGCACTGTGGAAAAATGCAGCTTGTTTGTTGTGTTTAATACTTTGGATTTTGTTTGACAATTTTAAATGAAGTCACTATATCTTGCTATTTAATTTATAGTAAAAATAACCTGTTTTTTTTAATTATTTAATTCTAATGTAACCAAGCCAATTTTGCAGCAAAAATGAATTATCGGTTGTTAAAAACAGTTTCATCATCAAATGAAAACATTTCCACTGTATTTTTTTCATCTCAACAATGAATTGATTACTGATTACTGTTTATGTAGCCGACTGTCAGCAAAGGAAACGGTTTCAATCTGGATCCCTAATGATAACTGAAAAATGTTCATTACCAACTGGCACAAACAAACAGACAAAAAGAGAAGCCAACAGGGAAAAGTGCAGCAGCAGCAGCAGCAGCAGCAGCAGGTGGGATATGTGGGAACTCCTTCAAGACTGTTGGAAAAGCTCCAGGTGTCGACCTCATGAAGCTGGACGGCTGAATGAGTGTGCAAAGCTGTTATCAAAGCAAAACGAGGCTACCATGAAGAATCCAAATCGTTAAGCACTGAGTATTTGGGTTTACCAAATATTTGTTTCCGACAAAAATCCATGTGTTTTTTTCACAGTTGGGACGTCTCTAGTTTTGTTCTACACTGTAAAAAATAGTCAAAATAAGGATAAATCCTTGAATGAATAAGTGTGTCTGCTGATGTATTTGTAGCTCAAAATGTTCAAATGAGTATCAGGCAGAGAAACTAGTTAGGGATGATTAAGAGATTAAAGATATCTGGTATCTGATTAACTCACGTCCCCGTGATTCTTTTAGAACCCCATAAACTAAAGGAGACGTTTGCAGCACCCCAGATCCCTCACTATTTACCACACAGTGCACTACAGCTACTGCCAGCAATTTCTGATATTATTTGAGCATTCAACTTCTGACAGAGTGAATTTATTCATTATAGTATCCTCAAAAATTCTCCAGTGGACCACTGGAAAGAACAAAGGTAGTGTGTATGTCATTGTCCTGACAATCACACACTGCAGCTCACCACAAAGAGGTTGCACCACACAGGTTTGTGTTGTAATCTTATGATGGGTATACAGTAGCTCCACATTGTAAAAGTGAAGCTACAACGAGGCTAACAAGTTTAATCCAGCAAACAGCTAACAGGCACCAAGCATGATGTCCAGGCATTCTTGGACAGCACAGCTGCAGCACTAAAAGCTACCACGTAGATTTTTTTCCGTAAAAGAAAAAACAATTGCAGCTATTTATTGCACTAGTCAAACTTCTCGTAACTTGGGAGGAAGGTCATCAAGCATCAAGTTAAAATTAACAGGGCAAACACTTCCTTATCAGAATGAGGTGTAAACACACAAGTACTGTCATAAAATGATCAAACCTGTGACAAGCTATCAGGTGAATGTGGGTTCACAGGTATGAGGTTTCAGTTGTGTTTTGAAGATAAGACGTGTAAATCATACAGCCTCAGGGCACAAAGCCAAGCTCAAAGTTTAGCCTTTAATGTAGACAAAAAGCAGAGTTTGTTTTTCAGGTAAAGAACCTACAAGGAGCCTGCATTTTAAATACAGTCGAATACATTTGAGTTGTACTGAGTTGTAGACATGGAGGACAGACGTGTGTGTGGTTCATACATGTCTGGGTTCTAAGTAGTAGCAGGTACACACACAAAAACGTATTGTTTAGACCTGAAGAAAGGTTGTTACGGAGCGACTTTAATCTTTTACATCCATCCAGCTTATCTATTTACCAACGGTGCTTACCTTGGCATGGTTTATATACTAATTAATAACTATAGCATGTTACTGCTACAAGCTAGCATCACATCAACATGTGAAATCCAGCTGCTGTATCGTCCAAATGGTCAGTGGTCCAATGTGTTGATCAATACTAGCTTTAAAACAGATACATCACATCAGCATATTAACTGCTCAATAAGAATCCTTTAAAATTATGTTTAGTTCCCTTGAAACATCAGCATCTTTGCTCCATTTTCTTAACCCTAAGCATGGCCTGCAGGTCTTCTTGTGGGTCTCCACTAGACCCCATCCACCTCCAGCAATAAGGTAAGGCATCCTGGATGTAGCCTTTGACGCACAATGCAGGTCAAAACGTGACATGAGACATCATGCACATGCTTTCTTTTGCAGCACTTCCGTACTTTCTAGCCAGATTTCATAAAAATTCAAGTGGAAAAGTGGCAATAATGGTGGCTTTGCTGAGCACTAAGCCTAAACGTGGGGGGAAGCATCCAGCCTGGCTCTGGAAGTGTAGTCTCACAATGTAACTGGTCCTAAACCCAGAATTTGCCATATACTGTCATTTTCACATTGTACATTGGATATACAAGCTGCACGGCTCGGCTACCTGGCTGATCATGCCAGTAGCATATGCTAAGCTAAACTTGCTATTCCCAGACTCTAGCTCACCCTGTGATGGACTGGTTACCTGTCCAGGGTGTCTCCTGCCTTTGCGCTAAGTCAGCTGGGATAGACTCCAGCCCCCCTATGACCCTAGTGAGGATTAAACGGTGTATAGATAATGGATGGATGGATGGACTCTAGCTCCATAATTGCAAATCAGATGCACAGACGGTAACAATTTTATATTAAGCTGCCCAGAAGCCAGCAAATAGGTGTCGTTCCAAATCTCTCTGAAACTTCAATAATACGATCAGTTTGA